TGTTCGGGGAAGCCGGCGCCCTCCCGCTGCGGCTCCTGCCCCCGGGGCGCGCCAGCGCGGGGGAGGGCGAAGCGGCGCGAGTGGGAGGCGCGGGGGAGTCCGGGCCCGGGACCCCCGGGAAGCCGCGGCTCCGGGGACGTGTCACCTGCGCCCCGCGCAGCAGCGCAGGACACCGTCCGGGCGGGGGTGCGCATGCCCGCGCCGCCCTTCTTTTCTCCCTAAAGCGTGTGAATGAAGGGGAAACCCGGCGCGTTTGCGTGCGTATTTGGCCTGTTTCTGATTTATTATTTAATCTCGGAAGACTTGTACCAGCCTGCACTCAATTTCGGCGGAGCCTGAAATAGCAGCTGACTCGCTGCTGGTTTAGAAAGTACAGCCAAGAGCAGTCCGGGCCGGAGACCGGAGTCGCTTAATTCGCCGGCGGGGTCAGGCTCGCTGCCTGTGCGGCGCTCCTGTGCGGCGTCTGCCCACACCTCCGTCGGAAGATCCAGCTCTTGTTAAAACCTGAGTAATCCTCTCTACAGTAACCGTGGACGCCGTGCGCCCCACGGGGAATCGGGCAAACTCGCGGATCTGAATTAGTCATTCATTTCTCTAAACTGATCGCCTTCCAAGCGAAAAGCAAGCCAACCTTCCAAAGGGTTGTTTTTAACCTAAATTTAAATATAAACCTGTGCTCTCTTATGTAAGCGATTACCTGTTCCAATAAGGATACAGTTCTCAGAGGAATTCTTGTTTTAAAACTTAGCTGTTCTCAGTCATTACCTTTCTGTCATTTTCTCCCGTTTCTTTTTCTTATTTTGGGGGGGGAGGGGGGTGCGAGTAGCATTTAGTCCCCCAGGGAACCAAAAGGTCTGAACTTGAAAACTGGTTTATCTAGAGTCTTTACTTGTTTGGGAGTTAGCTAGCACGTTCAGGAGGATAAATGAACTTAAATTTGATTAGCTGTGCGTCTGCCTGAAGCCATTTAGCCGAGCTTTAATTCTACAGGGTTTTTACAAAACTCATTAAAAGCCAGCAACAAAGGAACCCTGCTCTGCAGCTGGTAATTACGCTCTTTGTGTGGGAGTGGGAGCCTCCCTCCGCTCCTCCTGTTTGTACACAGGAGGCTGGGACGCTCTTTCAGGGTGGGCCAGGGTGGGCCAGGGTCTGCACGCTGGGGCCACAGCGCAGGAGCAGCTCCGGCCCTGTGGCTGGCTTGAGGCTTTAGTCAACAGGTTACAGGGCAGGCTCCATCTAAGAAGCGACAGGGCTAAAGTGTGCCGAGGAGGCTGGTTCAGATTGTGTGCTCCTGGCTTCAAGGAGTGGGGTGCTTCAAGGAAAGCCCTCTCGTGCATGCTCACTGATGTGTAACCGCCAGAGGAGTGTGGCACGGGCCTCAGCCTAAGGACACTTACTGTTTGGACATAGGAGGCCTGAGGGAGGGGTGGGTGCTTCCTTCATGGGAGGAGCTAGGCGTTCTGACATGGTGGCCCTCGCTGGCAGTGGGTGTAGCTGAGGTAGTGTGTCGGGGAGAGTCCAAGCGAATGTGGCCAGCGCCGGTCACACTCTGAATTTTCCGGGGACTGTGGCTCCCTCAGTGCGCCCCAGCTACTGTGGGCCGCCTTAATCCAGATGTGCTGTCTGAGCCCTCAGCAGCTTCCCCAAGGCCCCTCCAGCCCTTGTAGCCTTTTATCAAAGCGTTGAGTGTGTGAGCGTGAGTTTAGTAGGAATCTGTTAACACGCCTGTGCTGGCCCCAGTGTTGACTAAGGAGAGCCCAAGAAAGCCATCGAAACAAATCTAATGTTCTATGAGCCCATGCCTCCTGCTGCCTCCAGTGACTTTTGGTTAGCAGGTGCGCGTGCAGGAGATCACGGGTGGGCCGCTGGGGTCATGCCACGGGGTTGACGGAGACTCCAGCCCTGGAGGCCGGGATAGTGACCTTTGGTGTGAGCCGTGGTGTGGGGGACACTGGTGTGTGATGAGGCCTTCCTTCTGCGCTGAGTGTGTCGATTGTTTCCCTCAGACCTACACAGCAGGCCCAGAAAAGGTTTTCGGCCTACGGCAAGTGGACAGGTGGTTCTTGGCTTTAGGGTGCTCAAAGCAGTCTTGAGGGGCCGCTACGGTTTCACTGGTAGTGAAGCCGCTGCGTTCGCAGCTTTACGTAAGCACAGAGTAAGTGTTCAGGTTCCTAACATTTTCCTTTCTTGCCAGCTCTGGAGGTCTCAAGTGTGCTCACACTCACACCTGGCTCCCTGCACAGTAGCCACAGGTGGCCAGCTGCTGGCTGCCACATTGGTCAGCCCAGCTCCTGTGTAAGCCCCTGTACAAGCAAGGCCTCGCCTCTGGACAAACGCAGAGCTGTGCCGCATGCACAGGAGAGGGTTTCTGAGATCACACATTCAGAGCCTGAGGGTCTGGGTGAGGGGTTTCGTGGTTCAAGGCTGTGTGCTTCCGAACAGCTTAGAGAAATGTGTGTGTGTGTGTGTGTGTGTGTGTGTGTGTGTGTGTGTGTGTGTATGTTGGTCTGATCCCCACAGGCACTTCCAAGGCAGGTGACCCCCTGTGTTGCTCCCTTAGGGGCCCAGGTTGAGCTGACTGGTGCAGGCAGGAGATGCTGGCCAGAGCCCTCACCCCACCTTAGCGTGGGCGTGTTCCTGAAGCTCACGGCACAATCTCCTTGCTCGCTATCCAACTGCAAGGAGGCCCGTGGAGTCTCTAAGAGGAGCTCTGTTGCACCCTCTCCATCGCGTTTCGTGAAGCTCTAGATCAGGTTCCCATCCAAGGGTGTGAGCTCGCCTGCCGGCTACAGCACCCCAGCAGCCGAAGATCGGGGCCACCGTCAGCACTTCCTTCAAGTGGCGCTTTGAGGGCAACACGCTGACTCTGTCTCTCTGGCTTTTCTTTCAAGATGAATGACTTTGGAATCAAGAACATGGACCAAGTGGCCCCTGTCGCTAACAGCTTTCGAGGAACACTCAAGGTATGTGCTTATTACGTTTCCTGGACCATCTCGGAAGCTCTATTAGTAAGAGGCAGGAACCCATGCAGACCCGGGCCCCAGAAGTCGCTGTCCGGGGCGGGTTTTAAATCCCTTAGCTGTGTGGCTCTGTGGAAACTGCTTGAGCCTGTTCTGTGCTGTGAAGTGGGTGTCTTGATGCTCTGGGTATCTGCCCCCCAGGTCTAAAAGCAGTTGACTTGCGGATGAGGTGTTGAGGTCCATTCCTGAGGCTTCTTTCAAGCTGGAGAACAGCTCCCACATCTTACAGAGAGCAGCAAAGATGTAGGCCTCCCCTTTTCGTCTGCTCAGGAGTGCTCAGGGCCGAGCCTGGAGGCTGATTGTTTCTTACTTCTTTACTTGTATTTCCTTGTGCCTGTGCACACCTGCCATGACAGAGACAGAGGAGAGTTTGTGGGAGTCAGCACCCTCCTTCCTTCCACCATGAAGGTCCTGGGTCTTGAACTCAGGCCGCCAGGCTTGGCTCCAAGTGCCCAACTGGTCGGTCTCCGCGTTCCCCGTTCAGTTTATGGGCTAACACGGGAGGCTGAGAATGAGCGTCTTGTGCTGCCTCCATGAGGAGGGGCTGTGCCCCTGAGGCTGTAGGGAGCTGCTGTCTGCTGTGCAACAGCAGGCCTGGTTATGCAAACCCCATACAGATGAAAGATGAAAGGGCTGGCTCCCCTGTGTGAACAGTCTTCATGGTGTGTCTGTGAGATGTTGTGAATTCGTGTTGGAACTCTTGTAGCATAAACTGTTAATTTCTCTCTCTCTCTCTCTCTCTTGCTCTGTGTGTGTGTGTGTGTAGGTGTAGGTGTCATACTGAGGCCAGTGGTGAACATCTTTATTGCTGTCCACTTTGTTTTTTGAGAAAGCATCTCTCACTGACCTTGCTGCTAGCCAGCTGGCCTAGTCCAGGATTAAAGGTGACAGACCGCCTCTAGAGTTGGTTCTGCCTTCCGAGGGGGTCCCCCGACAGCCTGACATGGGTTCTCGGGAGCCTAACTTGTGACCTCACACTTGCCCAGCGGATGCTCGCTCTGCTGAGCCGTCTCCAGTGTCCTGAACCACTTTGAAGCTTAGATGTCCAGTGGCAGAACATAACCCATTTTTTCCCTGTCATATGTTGTTATCGAATGCTAGTGTGTTTGCTTGTTTGATTGAATCATGTGCCTAAAGCATGGCAGGAATGGTATAAGGAATTAGTGTGAGGGAGCTGAAGCTACACACCCTGAGAAAAACCCTTCAGTGAACAGAGAGAACCTGCTGACTCTGCATTTGGAGAAGATGCCAGCTTCTGTGTTGAAATGTGTAGCAAGGGCTTCCCATTGTTCTTTGACTTCCTGGTTTTAAAGAAAGAACTTCCAGAAGGGCACTTCCTGGAGGCCTGGGCAGTGCTTGGGGGAGTTTTTGTTGTTGTTCAACATCTACTTAATATTTCATCCAGATCCTCCCGGGGTGAAGTCCTGGGTAGGCCCAGGTGAGAGCGTCACGTTCCCCAGTGGGCCTGCCCTCCACGTGGTTGGTGTGCCCCAGGAGCTGAGGACTTGGGGCTGCCGCTGGCAGCGTGCCCTTTGGGGCAGCATGTCAGCCACTCTGCATTTCTGGAGCGGAGGCCCAGTGCTGGGCTGATGTGATTTGCAAATGTGTTACACATTCATGGGCCCATGACTCAACACATGGGTCATTGTGTTACACATGGTGTGGGATTTCCAGATTGTGTTGGGAAACAGAACTTTTTTTCACGATTCCTAAACACTCTGGGCGTGTTCCTAAACACCAGGGGTGGACCAGCCTGGCCAGGCGTTATTCACAGTCCTGCCGTTCAGGGCTGCTCTGTTTCACAGATTACCGACATTTATGAAACATCCAAGTTTTCCTGAAAATCTCCCTGTAGTCGGTTTGAAGTTGCTTTTCACAATCTTTTATTTTTATCACAGAAAACATAAAGTGTTTTTTTTTTTTTTAACAGATTATTATCTGAACCTCTGGGTTGCTGAGGAAGGAAGGTCTCCTTCCTACGTGGTAGATAATTCAGTGTAGCTGCCCAGAGGCAAAAATAGCTGGCTGCTGTCAGTTCCCCATGTCTTTCCAGCTTTGGCTCTTCACTTGCGCTGCCTCCCACCACACACCCGCTGGGTCATGTCTTGCTCACTCACCCCGTCTGATGAACCGCGCTGCTCTCCCTGGCGCGGCTCTCGGTGTGGTGTAAGATGCTGGCTTTCGTTGGGTTTAGTTGATTGATTTAGGTAGGTTGTGCAGAGTAACTAACCTCCCGGGCCACCTGAGCCCTGAGCTGAAGCGTCTAGAGAGAGGTAGCCTTGTTTGGGTTACTCTGAACTCGGGAGTGTGTGTCCAGTGCTGAGAGGCCGTTGGGGCACGCAGGAGGGTCGCTGTGGACCTGTGCAGAAGCTCGGCGCCAGGTGAGCTCACGTGCACCTCTCTCTCTTCCCGTGTCCTCCAGCGCCAGCCGGCCTTTGACACCTTCGACGGCTCCCTGTTTGCTGTGTTCCCCTCGCTCAGTGAGGACCAGACGCTCCAGGAAGTGCCCACAGGCTTGGATTCTGTCTCCCACGGTAATGCGCTCCCCCAGCCTGGCGGAGTGGCTCCCCTCGGCCGCCGGGCTGCCGGACGAGCAGTTCGTAGCAGGCTGCTCTCCAGCCAGCGTGCCTGGGTGTGGGTGCAGGAAGTCTGATAGAGGTCTGGGCCTCCCAGGAGGCCGTCCTCCTCTGTGTGAATAGACTGGCCACTCTGAGGTCTTCACGTGTGAACTGGGAACGTGTCACTCACAGCCAGGAGCCCTGACAGTCTCACCTTCCGTATTTTCACACCGTTCCTTAACTCGCTGGGCACAGGCCGCACTCAGAACCATGCAGTCAAGCTAGGACAGAGTAAAATCCCGTGCTTTGAACACTTCTGGCAATTTTGTGTCAGCCTCCATCCACAGTGGTCCTCGGCTGTGCACAGGTTGGACACACCTGAGGCCTTCTGAACTAATCTGTTCAGTTTAAAGTACATTTTAGGGGGAAATGGTATCTGTGCATGAAGTTGTGCAAAATATTTGATTTTTATTTTAAAACTTTGGAGCACGTGTGTACACACGCACACACACACACGAACACACACGAGGACTTTGCTGGCTTGGAACTCCCTGTGTAGCACAGGTTATCTCATTTTTCTCCTCTCTCTGTCTCCCCAATTCTGGGATACAGCTGCGGGCCACCCAGCTCGTGTTCGCTCTGGATTTCTCTCTTTGTAAGCATAACTCTAGGAATCCTAACTGGCGTGGGTTCCTCATGTCATTGCTTCCCTTTTTAAAGAAAAAAAGTAGCATGTCAGATTATATTTCTGTGATTACCATAATAGGGTAGACTTTGAAAAAGTCTTTTCTTGTTTGCTTTTGGCCATGGCGGTGCGAGACCCCTGCACGCCAGGGGCATGGCACCCCGGTGCATGGCTAGCTGTGTTCCCTTAAGGAGTCGCGGCAGCTTTTGTGCTCAGGTCTCTGTGGACGGGCCTGATCCTGAGCGTCTGTTGACATCGGCCGTGAGTCCTGACGTCCCTGAGTCCTGACGTCCCTGTGCTCTCTCCCTAGATGCAGCCAGCTGCGAGCTGCCCTTGCTCACTCCCTGCAGCAAGGCAGTGATGAGCCAAGCCCTAAAAGCCACCTTCAGCGGCTTCCACAAGGAGCAGCGGCGTCTTGGCATTCCCAAAAGTAAGTGCTGGGCTCTGAGGCTGCTGAGCCCCAGAGGACGCATGTGCGGGCCTGGGTTGCCTGGCAAGAAGTAGCAGGAATATAGCCACCCTGAGCCTGTGGCCCCCAGGCGCCGAGGCTCCATCAAACACCAAGCCGAAAGCTGCTGGTGTCTTCTGCCTGGGTTGTAGCACAGCTGTGTCCTGGTTATTTCTCGGGTGTGGAGCTATCTGGGCTTGGACTGTAAGGGTCCCTGGCCTCCCCGCCTTCCAGCTGTTCACTGGTGTTTTCTCCCCCCCTCCCCCTCTAGACCCCTGGCTGTGGAGCCAGCAGCAGGTGTGCCAGTGGCTGCTCTGGGCCAGTAACGAGTTCAGCCTGGTCAACGTGAACCTGCAGCGCTTTGGCATGAATGGCCAGACGCTGTGCAACTTGGGCAAGGAGCGCTTCCTGGAGCTGGCACCTGACTTCGTGGGCGACATCCTCTGGGAGCACCTGGAGCAGATGCTCAAAGGTCAGGCTGCGGCCCGCCCCCCCCCAGGCTACGCAGTGGTAGAGCCCATTGCCTCAGATGGGGCATGTTGCAGGTCTTCGTTCCCCTGAGAGAAGTGTGCTGGATGCTCTCGGAGTGCCAGGTGTGGCCACGAGGCAGCAGCCTGAGTCACCAGATGGCTGGCTGTCGCCAGGCTGTACTGGTCGTGCCAGCCCAGAGCACCCTAGGTATGTAGGCCGGCCAGGGTGCCAGGCAGGTGAGGTCACTGGGAGCGCCGAGAGGGACAGAGTGCCTGTGAGGGAGGCAGGCACGCCGTGACGCCACTCTGCTGGCGACTGTGGAAAGCGGGCTCAGTGGTCAGTACACACTGAAGTGTAAAATCGGACACTGAACTCGGAACACGAGGCTAGAGACACTCTCGCCTTAGGCCTTAAAGACCAGGGAGACCTGCCCAGGTGACTTGGTTTAATGAGGGACAGTCGCAGTAAGACTAACTTAAGTTTAAAAAAAAAGTAAGAAATTGGTTAGCACCGTGTTTACACGGTCCGCTTTCAACGTGGAAACTCAGAGCCTCTTTTGGAGTTCTATTGCCAGGTGGGTTTAGCTACAGCTTTCTAGCGCTGAGGCAACCAACTTTGACGACTCCCTGCTTCTTGGGGAACACGGACTGGTCTTGCCCACATTTCCGGGCAGCCATTTATGCGGCAGGCCTGGCTGGCTGGTCTTTGGCCCAGCGTGTGCATTTGGCAAATGTGGTGGTGTTACCTAGTCAGGCTACTTACACACGCTTGGCCTGCAGCTCTCACGGCATCCCAGACTCACCTGTAGATGGCGTTCACCCTTACAGGGGAGGGACCATGTCCATTTCCTTCCCCAAGGTTTCCCTGCCCTGCACAGACGGTGCCTCATTAGCACAGGCGTGAAATGAGTTCACACACTGGACCGCTCCAGACAGTGGCTTCATTGCTTTTGAAAAACTGCCCCAGATTATTAGAAAAATGTACCGTGATTTTTAAAAACAGACACATCTGGGGGTTGAAATCAAAGGGAACATGAAGGCTGAAGTGGGTTATTTCGATGTCCATAGAACAGCAGTGTGGAAGCGTTGCTCTTCCTGTGGAGTTGTTTGTTTTAGTTTCTTTTCATGCACGTTGGTGTTTTGCTGCCTGTATGTCTGTGTGAGGGTGCCAGATCCTGTGGGACTAGAGTTAGACGGTTGTGCGCAGCCGTGTGGGTGCTGGGAACTGAACTGGGCCCTTTGGGGGAGCAGCTGGTGCTCTTGACCACCGAGCTGTCCCCCAGCACCTCTTGTGCAGTCTTTTGGTTTGGTTTGGTTTTTTTGAGATAGGGTTTCCCTGTGTAGCCCTGGCTGTCCTGGAACTCTCTGTAGACCAGGCAGGCCTTGAACTCACAGAGATCCACCTGCCTCTGCCTCAGAGTGCTGGGATCAAAGGTGTGTCACTTTCTTGTGACATTTTCAATGTCTTCTGTGTCTACTTTTCAGAGAACCAAGAAAAGACGGAAGACCAATATGAAGAAAACTCACACCTCAACTCCGTTTCTCATTGGATCAACAGCAATACATTAGGTCAGTCAGGTGGACTATGCCGTGAGATCTCTGGTTTGGTCTCTCCAGCCCCGGGTGGCCTTGGCCTATGCTTCTTGGTGGCTACACATGGGCATCGAGCCACTAAGCCGCTGACACCTGGCAGACACAACTGAAAGGTGTGGTGAGAATCCGAGACCCTGACTCATCTGTACTCAGAGGTCTTAAAGGAGAACCAAGAGTGTAAACTATTCCTTGATGAGTTAGAATGCTGCTTACATATTTCGGATCACTGCTGTGTGACCATTTTAACTGGTCAGTTAAAATGGGAAACTAGCTTTCAGTGTGGGCCCTGGAAAACGCAGCATTGCCGAAGTGGCTCCTATAATCGCTAGGAGTCCACGCCACTCTGTAAAGTGTTTTAATAATGAGAAAAAGAGGTCAGTAGACCCTGCCAGAGTGTAACAGGGGGTGGATGGACCGAGTGTGAGGAAGACTCGCTGTGCTCTGGACCTGAGGCAGAACAGGCTCTTGGGGGCGGCTTAGTGGGGTGTGGGTACAGCTGTCGTCCAGCTGGCTGATTCCCGCTCTGTTCAGGCTTCGGTGTGGAGCAGGCTCCCTACGGGATGCAGGCACAAAGCTACCCCAAAGACAGCCTCTTGGACAGCGTGTGCCCGCCGTCCGCCACGCCCTCGGCCCTCGCCTCCGAGCAGGAGTTCCAGATGCTGCCCAAGTCCCGGCTCAGTACCGTCAGTGTCAACTACTGCTCTGTGGGCCAGGACTTCCCCGGTGGCAGCCTGAACTTGCTCACCAGCAGTTCCGGTAAGCACTCTAGAGGAAGGTTACCGTTTGTCGGGGCCTGCTGGGGAGGAGAGCTGCTGGGCAGCATGTCCTGCTCTCTGCCTTTGGAGGAGGCGGTTAAAGTGCCAGGCCACCTTCCGTGTGACTCACACGGATTCAGCCTGTTCAGATCCCTGGCCCGGGTTCTGCAGGATCGAGTGAGCAAGGTCGGGTGACTTAAAACCCTAAGTTCCGAGCGGTGGTGTGGCCCGCTGAGACACAGCAGTGTGCCGGCGGCCTTGTAAGGACGTGACATGCGTGATGCACGCGTCTCAGGTTGTGCGTTCGGTCGAAGTCACAGGGCTGTGTACAGCTGTGCCCCGGCCATCCGCGCAGACCCAGGAGTTTCCTCCTCGCAGCCCGCGAGGTTCCTCCGTTCCCAGCCGCCTCTGTAGGAGCAGCCCGTTGCCTTCTCAGCGTCCGGGACTGGCTTCTGCTGGCCTGGGGCTTCCCACAGATGGGCTTTGGCTGACTGTTTTCTTTGGGGTTTGTCTCCTGTCTGAGCTGACAACTGTTTGTCCGTTGTCGTCCGTGCTATGGCGGTGTTTGCTCTCGCTTGTGGTTAGATAGAGTCCTGCTGTAGGGAGCTCCGCCTTCTCCATCCTCTGGTTGTTGTCTGCATATGGAGTTGTCCTAAGAAATCAGCGTCTGAGTCTGGAGAGCGCTCGGAGGGGTCTGGCCGGCGCCGTGCCAGCTGCGTGCGTGGCGGGTAGTTGGCAGTGATGTGGGAGTCGGGGTCACAGTGCCCCACACCCTGGGGGTCTCAGCCTTGTTTGGTTGCCTTTACCAGGAAAGCCCAAGGAGCACGACTCCCCGGAGAGCGGCGGGGACAGCTTCGAGAGCTCTGACTCGCTGCTGCGCTCCTGGACCAGCCAGTCGTCGCTGCTGGACGTGCAGCGCGTGCCTTCCTTCGAGAGCTTCGAGGAGGACTGCAGCCAGGCGCTGTGCCTCAGCAAGCCCACCATGTCCTTCAAGGACTACATCCAGGAGCGGAGCGACCCGGTGGAGCAGGGCAAACCGGTTATCCCGGCAGCCGTGCTGGCTGGCTTCACCGGTGAGTGTCCATGCCAAGTGTCCATGCTGTGGCTGCGGCGGCTGCGGCGCCTGCCACGCTTGCCCGGGCCTCCTCACGTTTCCCTGTGGTACGCCAAGGTTTGCTGGACCCCCTGTCCCACCAGACTGGAGAAGCTTCCATGTCAGGATCTGGGGTGTGGGAAGATCCCAGGCCACACCCTCTGTCTGGGATGGGGTGGAGAGGGAGCAGTGACTCACACTCAGGATCTCCAGGAATGTAAGCCGGCCTGGGAAGGCCGAGCTGTTTACCTCTCCAGGCAGAGAGCTGACCTTAATTAACGCTGTTTTCAGACCCAGAGAGCTTCAAAACTGGGGCAGAAACACCAGGAATGTTCATTTTCGTTGCTTTAGATGCCTTTAAATAGGACCCTCTTCTCACACGCAGGCCATAAGACACCATGGTTTTTAAAAACCCACTTTGAAAAATATGAGATTAAAATGAGGATTCGTGGACTCTCTTCTCAAAGACAAATGGCCACGTATGTGTGTAAAGATTGGTGAAGGGGCTTGAGCCTGAGGCTGTTGTGGTGCATAGGGTCTAAGAACTGCTGAGGAACCCCACAGCGTGGGAGCCCCACCGGATGGTAGCGGTTCTGATTGCTGGTTGGCCTGTGGCCCACAGTGGTATCGTGGGTGCTGTGGGAACCCAGTGGGTTCCGAGGTGACACGTGAGTCAGCTCCCTGTGGCTCAGCCCAGGGTCTCTCTGCTTCCCCACAGCCTCTTATATTTGAGGCCAAGGTGACAGCTGAGCTTGGGGTCAGATCTTGGCTTTTCTTCCCTAAACCGTGACAGGGACCCAAGACAAGTCTCTGTACACCCGTAAGAGAGGCGGGGCTGCGGCAAGCCTCTCTCAGAGTGGTGGTTCTGGGTACCTGGGTAGCAGCGACAGACAGTTGTGGGTGTAGGTCACCCGCGCCTGTGCGTATGTCCGCGCATCAAGTCTCACTATACAGTTTGCTGATGGTCATGAGGAACGCGCCTGGGATGAAATGGCTCTTGAGTGCCCGCCCCAGCTCCCCTGGGCATTTCCAGATGTAAACTCTTGGGGCTCTTGCACAGGAAAGCACCGAACAGCAGGAGGGCTGGTGCTGCCGAGAGTGGCCGGTCCTGCACCCCAGGACAGGCAGGGTGCGGAGGAGGCGCCCTGCTGAGCTGGGCAGGCGGCTGTGTGGCTCCCACCCCTTCAGATGCTTCCTGGGGTCTGGCACCCCGAGGCCTCACCCACTCAGTGCCCAGCAGGGTACTCCAGGCGGCCTGGTCACTGGGAGGGTCAGATCGCGGCTGCCCCCGTGTAACCCCGTGTAACCCGCCTCCCATCACCCGCAGGGAGTGGACCAATCCAGCTGTGGCAGTTCCTTCTGGAGCTGCTGTCCGACAAGTCCTGCCAGTCCTTCATCAGCTGGACAGGGGACGGATGGGAGTTCAAGCTCGCTGACCCTGATGAGGTACGGCGCCTGCGCTCTCAGCCCCAGGTCATCACACTGGGTCCTGGAGCCAGCGCGGGGAACCGGGAGCCCTCCTCCACCAGGAAGCCCTGCTCTTAGGCTGGCCGAACTGCAGCCATGGCCTTGTTGATGAATGGGCCTGCTGTCCTGGGCAGTGCCCTCCTCCCTCTGTAGACATTGTCTGGTGACCCTTGGTGGGTTCTAGAGGGAGTTCACCTTTATCCCTAGTTAGACAAGGCACACAGCAGCCAGGCATTGGGTTGGCATTGGGGTGCCCTGATGGAGAAGGCTTTGGGAGGCACAAAGCCTCTTTGGGAGGCACAGTGCCAGTGATACACGTCATCTGTCACCTGTCTGTCTGGGGGAGTACATATGTCTCCCGGGCCAGAATAGTCTCTTCAGCGGTCACAGGGCTTGAAATGCCTCAGCCGGCGGAGTGGTTGGCTCCTTGCTGGCGCCCAAGGGCGCCATCCCCGGCGCCATAACTCAGGTGTGAGGACCGTGCCTGCCTGTAATCACAGCACCCTGTGCGAGGTGGGGGGAGCAGAGGCTGGAGGCTAAGACCTTCAAGGTCATCCTCCCCAATCTGGAGTACAGGAGGTTCTGTCTGGCTTTTTAAAAGAGTGAGAGAAAAAAAAAGAAAGAAGGGGGCGTACGAACTATGGCGGATGGCTGCCAGCAGTGGCCCGGTTGGAGGCACTCCCAGCTCCACACGGTGGGCCCAGGAGGCTTTGTTGAGATGGAGCCGGGGACTCACTGGCTCTTGTACCTGGAAATGTGCACGAATTTGAAGTGACCCCTGTGACTGTTGGGCTCCCTAGTGTGAGCGCCCGGGGTCTGGGGAGCCGCTTCTGGCTCAAGAGCGGACACGCTGACTCTGTCCTTTCTCCCCAAAGGTGGCCCGCCGGTGGGGGAAGAGGAAGAACAAGCCGAAGATGAACTACGAGAAGCTGAGCCGCGGCCTGCGCTACTACTACGACAAGAACATCATCCACAAGACGTCGGGGAAGCGCTACGTCTACCGCTTTGTGTGCGACCTTCAGAACTTGCTGGGGTTTGCCCCCGAGGAGCTGCACGCCATCCTGGGTGTCCAGCCTGACACGGAAGACTGAGCTCCTCAGGGCCACCCTGAGCCGGCCCCGAGCGCAGGGACTGAGTGGGAAGGCCGTCCTGGCCCACGCTGCAGAGACCCACGGGAGGGCAGGATGGAGCCCCTCGGGGAGAGCCACACGCAGCCGTGACCTTCCTTCTCCCTTGCCTCTTCCACAAGCCAGCTCCCCGTGGCGGAAACTGGCATGGCCTCTGTCCCGAGGCAAGCCCCGGAAGGGAAGAGGCTCTGGAAGCCGCTGTGGCACCGCGCAGGCCGAGGGCAGATCGCGATCTTTCCGGCGATTTGAGATGCTCCAGGAGCCAGCATGATGCGGACACACAAACACTGAGAGACGTGTCTTTCCTTTGGCCTTTTGCCACCAGGAGTAGCAGAGGCCGCCCCGCCATGAGAGAGGTGGAGGGCGGTGGGCGCCCCATTTCAGAAGTTAGTTTGTACATATTGTTGTACCTTTAATTGTCAGAATCCTCCAGCAGCTCTATTTAACAGAAATTGTATATTGTATTTAAAGTGATTATAACCTGTTTGAATCAAGAATGCAGATCCCTGCTAGGTTATGCATTGTTCCCCTCGTATACAGGAACGTCCATTTACACAGACGTCACCTCTCAGGGCCCACTGAGAGAAATCAAAACACGCTGTTCTCATTTTTGTTACCAACAGGAATGGGGTCTGAAGGATGACCCTAGTTTTTACTTCTGTTTTGTTTTATTATTGTTATTTTAGTTCTGGCTTGCTCATTATCTGGCCAGGATTTTGTATGTTGGGATTTTTTTTATAAGACTCTTAATGTTATTATTTGAGCGTGCATCTGGCCTTTCCATTTTCTCCTGGACTGTAGAAGCTGCAAAGCAGTATTTTTCTTGACAAATGGCACATGTTTTCCACATCCCTGCATGCCATCAGTTTATACACAAACACTGAAGTGTATTTTATTTTTTTGATGTGACTATGTTTTCCAGGCAGCTCCCCTCCCCCGAGCCAGGCTTTCCTTCCTTTGCCCCAGGTGTCCTGTACGACAGCAACAAGAAGACTATTTTTGGAAATATATGACTCCTTTTCAGAGACCAGAAGGGCTTTATGTAGCAGCTATTTTTACTGCAAAAGTAACTCACTGGAAAAAAAATGTAATTTGTATGAAAGCTTTATTTTTATCTTCACTTGTGTAAAGGGAGAGGTGTTGGGCAGGGCTGAGGAGAACGGGAGGGATCTCCCATCAGTCTTAACCTTAAATGGAGCGTGGCGCTTCCGCCTCTCTGTGCTGCCATGTTCTTCCTGTCTGGGTTGCATGCTCTGCTTTCTGCTCCGTGTCCTCAGAGAGTTTACTCCTCTTATTTTCTTGGCCATGGATGATGCCCAGCAGCACAGGCAGGACAAGCGGGAGGGGGACAGTGTTGGTGCAGTCACTTGTTTTTGAAAGCGGATGGGTTTGCCCTTTATTAGCAGGGTTGCCTGGGGCCAGCAAGTGATACTGATGAAGAGTCATCATGCTGCGAGACCACGCAGGGACGCAGGAGCAGCTGGGGCCTGCTGTGCCAGCCCTGGGGTGTTCTGCGGGTAAGCACAGGATCTGTTTGTTGCTGGGACATCTGTCTGTCACGTAAACACATGGGACTAAGCACAGTTCTCTCAGAAGCTCAGCCATCAGGCCGCTCCTGTGCGGGTGAGCCACGTGAACTTGCCAAGGTTAGCCTGAGTTTTGTCAGCCAAGATGGGAGTTTTACATGGTTTCGGAAGTCCTCGGAAGTATTTGGTGCGGTCTTACGTATGAAGGTTTTGTAATTTGGCCTTTTATTTCTCAAATAATAAAGTATTTGGTCAAGCCAATGCCTCCATAATGCTGGCTCCTTGGACTAGTCCTCTCTCGTCTGACACAGAGGAGGTAGATGAGAATTTGGACCCGTTATGAACCCTTGTCTGTGTGACCTGGAAGTCCAGTCTACCTACAGCTCAAACACAGAAACAAGATGGAAACCACTGAGCCCTTCCTCAAAGAATTAGGAAACAACCTGCGGTGAAACCTCTGCCTGGGAGAGGGTTGGAATAGAAGTTTGGAGAGAAGAGATTTTAGGAAGCTGTGAGAAACGCTGGAGTGTGAAGTTGAAGCATCTTCCACGGCCTTGAGGTGACAGTGTAATTGATCATAGTACGTGTTCTGACCCCAGGATGTTCCCACACTCCAGAGCCCACAAGGACAGTAAGAGTCCACATCCATGCCTCACTGCTCCCTCAGGCTCACCAGGGGCTCACATCGATGCCCTGTGCCCTCCAGGTTGCTGGTGGTAAACCCCAGTCCTAGCCATCCCTGGTTATCTTATTACAAATTAAATTTAGAGAAATTAAGTTAGGGCTAGAGAGGCGGGGCAGCTCAGCCATTAGGAACGCTTGCTGCTCTTGAAGGGACCCAGGTTTGGTTCTCAGCTCCCACTGGAAGCTCACAACCACCCATAGCTGCGTTTTAGGGCATCCAGCACTCTCTGGCTTCTGTGGCAATGCAAGCATGTGGTGCACACGGGCAGACAAACACAGTGTTTGCAGTGTTTAGAAGTTTCATTTCAAAATCACATTAGCATAATAGCGCTTAAGGTTTTTTTCAAGTATAGTATTTCTGTGCTTGCACATCTCTTCAGTGTTTGGGCTCTTGGGTCTTGAGTACATAAAGAAAATTAGGCCTAACAGATTCATAAGCAAATCAAGAAAGAGCATTCAATGGCTGTGTCAGATACTGTGGATATTCAATATGCTGCTGCATTTTACATGGTAACAAGAGGAAGGTAGCCATGGTCCCATGCAGCCATGCAGCAAGCTTCCTGTTGCTGTGTTCTGCCACATCTGTCTATCTTGGATCTTTGCCTACGTGTGATTTTGGAATATGAATTTATTATTTAGAAAATAACCTCTTCAAATGATAACACCATTTAGCAGACACTGTCAAAGGGTTACTGGACTCAGTATCACTGCCTGTCTTTACAGAAAAGCTCCAGGAAATTTATCAGCCTCACAGTGACATACACAAATTCTTAAACATTGAAAGTTCAACCTTTTATCAACAACCATCTTTTCCTAAGTGATTTACTTTGAAGTGTCACGCTTGTCTTACTTAATTTTAAGAAACAACCAGCCAAATATTCTTGATACTGTTTACTAATTCTTCTTTTCAGGTAAAATACGGTATTTGAATGAAGTGGTTAGTTTAGCAGCAACTCAAACATGGCTACATTTCTGTGGGGCCAGTCAATCATACGTTACACAAGACTTCTGTTACAGAAGTTGAGAAGAGGTATGTTCTGTGAGCAAATGAGTCTTAACTGCTTTATCAAGCCAGTTCTTATATGTGACCTTTGTGTAGGGGTTTTCCTTTTCTTCACAATGTAGTGAAGAAGGCAATGAGGTTCAGTCTGCCCTGACCTCTGAAGAGGCACCAGGAGTTTTAATAACTTTTGTGTGCATGCTAAGGCCAGTATCAACACAGTAAAAAAGAGTAACTATATTAGTATTATTATAAAATGTTTTTACCATAAGGATATTCATGAGACGATCTCAGGACTACACAGAGAGAGCCGTCTGAAAATGAGAGATGCTCGCAGACAACAAAAGGCAGAGACTATGGCAGAGGTAGACAAACGAACCCTGGACCCCAGTGTCCCTGTCTCCATCTCACCCCTTCCTAGTTAACAAGGACACATTTTCACTCAAGTACTTGAAAACTCCCATTTCTTGTTCCTTCACAATGCTCCACTCCAATCCTAAACCTTCTAAGAAAAATAGTGTATTTTGCCACATATTTTGACAGTTCTGAATCATACTGAATATAATTATCTGTTAATAAAAGTTTTCTGTGACTAAAACAAAATTCTTCAGATAATCTATAAAGAAAAAACATTTATCTGGGATCATTCAGGGAAGTGTCAGTCACTCCTTAGCATAAAAAGGCACATGATCAATGGATGTAATTGTTGGCAGATGGAATTCCACATCCTAATAGACACATGGTTTTTGACAAAGAAGCCAAACCTGCACACTGGAGAAAAGAGCATCTTCACACTCTTGGCCAAACTGAATAGCTGCGTGTAGAAGACTACAAACAGATTCACATCCGTCAGCACAAAACAGCCACAAACGGCCAGGAATTACACCAGAAGACCAAGGACCCTGGATCCCATGAAAAGGGAAAGTAAGGGATGAGTTTGAGCTCACTGGCCCAGGAAAAGAATTTCCGAATAGGATCTGATAGCACAGGCATTAAACCCAACAATCAATAAATAGAACTTCATGAAGCTGAAAAGCTTCTTATGGCAAAGGACATCATCAGACAGGATGGGAAGAGATCTTTATTAATTAATTATACATCTGAGAGAAGTTTAGTTTCTAGACTATTCAAAGAACTAAAAAACAACTCAATTAAAAAATCTCATACAGAAAGTTCTCAAAAGATGAAACACAAATGGGTGAGAAACAAAGAAATGCTCGGTGTCCTTACCTGTCAGGGGAATAAAAATTAAGAACAACTTTGGGATTTCATTTTACCCAGTCAGAACGGCCAAGATCAGTGAAATGATAGCACACGATGGCGAGGCTGAGGGAAAGGGGGATGCTTGCTCACTGTGCAGCCACTGTAAACAGCAGTGTTGGAGGGTGATAGGTTATCCCTGCTGAAAATGAGCCGATTCAAGCCAAATTAACAGTATGTGAATTCAGAGCCCCTGGGCTGGAAAGCACAGCACAGAGGACCTGGTATGCCAGCCACGCCCTGTAACTGGCAGAGACCAAGGGATGCTGGGAGAACCTGGGGCCAGGTCCACCCTGGTCAAGTGGGCACCTCAGCCACCTGGTTCAGGTACGAATCCCCGCAGACCATCCTCAAAAAGTCAGTCTAAAACACAATATCCAGCTATGCTACTCTTGGTCATAATACCCAAAGATTACTATAGAAATACTCGCTCATCTATGTTCATTACTGCTCTATTCAAAACAGCCAGAAACTGGAAACAGCCTAGATGTCCATCAACTAATAAATAATAAATATCCAGAATATTTACACAATGGAATATTTTGCAGCGGTTAACAAAAATTAAATTATGAAAAAAGGAAAAAATGAAATTATGAAACTTTCAGGCAAATAGATAGAGCTCTAGAAAAAATCATTATGGGTGAGGTAACCCAGACAAAGACAAATTTTGCATTTTTTCTCTAATGAGTGGATAATTTCTTTTAAGATTTACATATGTGTGGTTCTATGCAAATAATCATAGAGGTAGAGAATAAGGGATCGGGTAGCTGTGAAGAGTCAGCCAAGGAAGTGTAATAGATTATAGTACTATAAAGAGATGAAAGGGAAACAAGAATAGGAAAATGAAATGGGGAGAGAGAGATAAAGGAGAGAAAGTGGGGAGAGGCAGCCAACACTAAAGGCCCTTGAAAAGCCTTGTGGAACCTACTTCTCCAGCAACTTCCTAAAACATATATTCATAGGAAAGGAACTTAAATGGAGTCACTATGTAATAGGTAAGACTGCCCCAACTAAATATCTCATACTACAAGTATAATCTCCAGTGTCAGGAATGGATTATGTCTTGCTGAGTCACTGGACAAAGGGGTCCCATAGACACTCTCCCCCAAAACAGCACACTATTGCAAAAGCTATCGGTTGCTACCCACAGCATGATGGAAAGGCCCTATTGCTGAAGACACAACTCACTTATGTCATCAGACATGAAGAAACCAATATGGTGCCCAACTAGAAGCTTCACCAGGACTGAGCAGCAGACACAGAACTGGAAGAAACCCCACACACCACCAGAGGAGAAGCCTCTCTTAGTGCTTATCAGGGAAGCTTCTTCTTGTGGTAGACGGGAATTTACAGAGACCCACAGCTGGACAGCGTGCAGAGGATGATGTGTCTCCATCAAGGCCTTCCCTAGGGGCTGAGGGAACATGTTCAGCAGAGGTGGAAACTGTAACCACAGTAGGGCATGGCTCCCAGGAAACAGTGTCTTCCAGACACAACAACTGATACAAATAACTCACAGAGACTACAACAGGGCGCCCAAGACCTGCACAGGCTCAACCAGACAAACTCCAGCCTGGAGAAGAGGACTGACAGAGAGTATCACCCCTAACCAAGAAGCTGTTGTAATTGGCACCTGCAGAAACTCAGCTTTCTCCAGTGGAGTATCACTGGCCACAATAACCACAGTCCAGAGCAGGCCCCTGCCCAGATACAGCTGGCCAACACAAAACGAACTCGGTGGGTTGTTGGGGGAGGGGCAGGGCGCACTATTTGTTTTATTTGGACATTTTTTGTCCTACTGTCTTTTTTTTTTTTTTTTTTAAGTTTGTGTCTTGAGTTTCAGTTTGGGGGTTTTGTTTTTGCTTTGCGAGAAAGAACATGAGGTTAGATCGGGAGAGGAAGGATCTGGGAGAGTTTAGGCAAGGAAAAAGAATATGATCAAATACTTTGTATACAATTTTTCCTTAAATAAAAATATTAGTTACTGTTGTTTTTAAAGATGTCACTGGGCTCAGATGTCACTGGGCTTCTTCCGCCTCCATGTTCCTCTATCCACAGCCCTTGGTTTGCATTTTAAATTAGCCATGACCTTCGAATCTCTTCATCCGTGCCAGATGCTGATCTGTCCGAGCAAAGCAGAGCCTTTTGGGGAAAACCCTGGTTGTGAAAACATTTTGTAACTCCTGGGTGGAGCTCCGTCATGTGAGCCTGCGAAATCTGACCCTTGGGAAAGACCATTTTTGGGCACAGCTGGTGTGATGGCATCTTTGCAACTGGAACTGACATGGCTTTGTTCCAGGCGCTGAGCGTAGCTGTCCCCACCCCACC